CTTCCTGGACAGTCCGCGGTAGCTGGACAGCTTAACCACAACTCAGCCTCAGCCCCGCAGCAACCCCGATGCAGGCCAAGTACAGCAGCACGAGGGACATGCTGGATGAAGACTGGGACACCACCGTGAGCCTGCATTCTCGAGCCTCCACGACAACCCGGCGGCCAGAATCTAGGCACACAGGTACTCGCCTTTCCCGAGTCTACACAGACCAGAGCCCTTGTGTGTGAGAGGAGCCCCCTTCTAGGAAGGCACAGAACAGAGGAAAGAGAGGAAACGTCTGCATGGACAGTGGTGTGTACCTGAGCACATGTGAGCACAGAAACCTTCACCTCGGTTTATACACTGTTTTCAGAATTTCTGAGGCCCTCACAGTGGTCTGCAGGGGAGGGCGTGCTGCTTTTTCTGTCTAAGCCGTCAAAGGTGAAATCGTATGAGTAAGGCAGCATCTCCTTCCCTTCCCACCTTTTTATGAAGACCAAATCCAGAACTGTTTTATTTACCATGTGTGCTCTGACCTGGAGATGTTTATGAAGCTCCATTTTTGCTGTTTGTGAACTCAAAGCTTTAGAGAGAGATTTTTTTCAAGTAGACAAAGCAATCCTGGTGTTTTAATAATTTTGCCTCGAAGAGATTTGAGAACTTGAAGAGTCATGTCATCAGGTTTGTGGTGTGAAATTCTGTGATTGGGCAATCTACACAGATTCAGTTATGTTCAATCCCTGAGTCTGCTGTGTTCATCACAGAATATCACTAAGAATTTTGAATTACATTATAAAAAGATTTCATTTTATTACATTTAACATTCATCTTATAAAATGATTCACTCTGTGGCATAGCAATCATTTTTTTTTTTTTCGATTCCATTTAGCTCCATAGCATACATCTTATTTTCTGGGCCATGTAGTCAGTCTAAAGTAGAAATGTGACCCGAGTCCTAGTGCAAAGATTTCACACCGTAGGAAAGCTAGAACCAGGTTCTAACACGAGGTATGCCACTTACCATCTGTGTGCTCTTGATCAGTAACTTACGTATTCCAGGGCCCTCTGGTTCTTGTTGTATAAAGACTATCGTAGACATACTTACAGGGCTTATTATGTGCCTGACATTCATAAGCACTTTATGTGTATTCATAGTAAGTTGAATTAATATTAAATAAAAGTAGCAAAACTGTTCTTATAAGAGGATTATGAGTAGAGGGTGTTGAACTATGTAAAGTCCTTGTATATCACAGACACCCCAAAAATGTGAGTTTCCTTTCAATATTCCACTCCTGGTGTTCTGGTTAACATTTTTGTGTCTGTCTAGATCAGAGACCTACTCAATTAGGGCTTGTATGTTAATATGTCCTTTGTCTTCTGACTAGACCCAGGTTTTTGCCACCTCTGTAGACACCCCTTTTCACTCTGTTCTTCCTTATCGAATAACTTTTAGTGTTTCTTCCTTTTCCCTACTAACCAAATCTATTCAATCTCTACTCGTTGACTGATCCTCCACCTGAGACCCACTGATAAACTTTTTTAAAAAATTCAACTATCCAGTAAACTGTTAGGGGACACTGGGGATTCCCAGGCTCCTTGGCGTGAAGCTCAGTGAGGACAGTAGGGATGTCAGTTTCTGTGGCCACAGAATATGTATCACAGGATACGAAATGTTTGCCTCCGACAAATTTTAGGCAGAGCCAGTACTTAGGGCTGCGGTTTTGAACGGCTTGTGTATCGCTTTCTTTTTCACCTCTGACTGGAGCCAGGAAACTCTCACAAGTTTACTGATCAGCATAATCAGGAACAGCATGTACAAATAAGTTGTGCTGAGGTGGAGGGTGGAGAGGGAGATGGAGCAAGATGAAACACCAACCGCTCTATCTGGCAGCTTCTTTGTAAAAAATGGAAATTGAAACAGTAGGAGTGAGCTCACAAAGACGCGCCTTCAAGGAGCATCTGGAAACACTTACTTCGCCTTACATGTACGGTATCCCATTTCCATCTTCTTATGATAATGCAAATAGAGAAATGAACCCACAGAACCTTAATTATTTCTTAGCTAAATATAATCAATATGCATTGCTGTCAAAAATAACAGAGTAGAAATAGCTCAGAATTTTTTGCAATGTGGAGGACTCAGATTCAATATAATGCTGTGGCACAATTATGAGTGGGCAATTTTTATTTTATTGTTTTTTTTTTAGAGAGTTTTTGTTTGTTTGTTTTTTTGCTATAAGGCATGTGCATTCCCCGAAAAGACAGAGAGCAACAGAGAGACAGAAAGTGAGAAATCACCCCCTGGGGGGATGGCCATTCTGCAATCCCTTCTCCTCCATTCTCCTCTCAGGATCTTGGACATGCATGCACATGCCCCTGGTGTGAGTTTAAGCGGATGATCTAGGACTTGAACCATGGTTGACTACATGGGAGTCTAGTGATGTAAACTTTACGTCATCTGTTGGTCCCCAATTTTAATTTTTTAAATTAAAATTAATAAAAGTAATTTATATCCATTTGCTTATTTTATAGATTTATTTTCTCAGCATAGCAATGATGTTTTTGTTAAAAATGTCAAACAGGACCACAACCATACCTTAGTGGTTAAGGGAGCCTGCTAAGCCAAAATTAGCTTTCATCTTGGCCCTGGCAGCTTAAAAAACATGCCAAGTGCATGTACATATGTGCCAAAATGAGATGGAGAAGCGGAGAAGGGATGGACCTGGTGAGTGCTTCCTCTCTCTCTTCGTGTCTGTTTTTGTGTCTGGCAATCAATCGCCCATGCCATCGGCAATTAAACCATGTCAAACAGTTGAGAAGTAGGAAGTAAAAATGAAAGACAACCTCAATACATAACACACCAGGCATCGTGCCAAGAGTTGAGACATTATAGCCCAGTATGATATAATCCTTATTTCTGAGAAAGCCTAAAACCTGATCTAATTCTCAACGAAACTGAAGTGTAATGAAGAGCTGTGGAGGAAGCAAGTGCCTGGCACAAGCGAGAGCTTGGCCAGGTCTAACAGCAGTAAAGAAAATCAGAAAAAATTTGAGAGGTAAAGTGACTGTTGAGTCGATTTTAAGATGTTCCACATGGTACAGAATCAGAGTAGAGGTGTTGGAGGAGCTGGGGACACTGTATGCAGGAAAAGAAATGAAGGGAAATCCCTGAGGGCTCAGGTGAGTTTGCGTTTGTAGAGAACTAGAAGCATCTGGATGGCTGATATGCAGAGCTGGCAGGGAAACGCTTTGAGAGTGATGTCTGGCAAATGAATGAAGGCCCTGATATGCAGAGCTGGCAGGGAAACGCTTTGCGAGTGATGTCTGGCCAATGAATGAAGACTTGCCATTCCATACTGAGGTGTTTCTACTCTATACAGTGGCTGGGATGAGGTCAACAGAAGTTTAAACAGGGAGAAACACAATCGATTTTGTGACTATGATTTTTTTTTTTAATTGCCAGAGAGCATTTGCACTTGCCTGAGTGATACAGAGAGACAGAAAGAAAGAGTAGGATTGCAGTGCAAGCCCCCCACTTCCTTCAGTGGGGTGCCTCAATTCTTTGTCCTCTATTTTCCCATTTTGTTGGGATTTGGGGCATGCACACACGCTCCTAGCATGTCTGTCAAGTCACTAGGACCACTGTGCTCAGTTATGTGGGATCTAGCTCCCTTCACCGCTAGGCTCCTGGGCTGGTCCCAATTTTTGTTTTTGGAAGACCATCGAGGCATCAATGAGGGAGAATAGATGGATTGAAAGAGAGTGAAACCATAAGAACTGATACCCACTTCTTCCGCTAGTCTAGGCACAAAATTAGAACAACTAAATGAGGTAGTATGGCAAGAATAAGAAGGAATCAAATACGAAAGGTGTTGAGGCAATCGTGTGTAAAGAAGTGGTGATGTGGTACACATCAGAAGACAAGGTAGGGGGATGGATTGCAGGTTAACTAGGTTGTCTCTCATGTTATGTGGCTGGTGCCGCCATTAACTGAGATCGAAACAATAGGAGGAAGGGAAAGGTGGTAAATTCCGTTTGAGTTTGAGTGTCCTGTAGGAGGAGGAACACACATTTGGAGCTGTCCAAGAACGCTGGCATGTGCAGAATGTGCATTGAGTGTAAGAATTCTGAGCCACGTGTATGCATGTGTGTAAACTATGGCTTAATAGTTTAAAAAATACATAAAGCACTGAAGTAATGAAATAAAACAAATTGATACTACTATTTGGTCTTTGGGAATCTGTGACACATTTTTGCACAGAAAAACATCAAAAATAGGGAACCAGCAGTTAGTGTAATGGCTATGTCGCCGGACTCCCACATTGTCGACCGCGGTTTGCGTCCCAGACCCGGTGGCTTAAAACTCACGCCGTGTGTGTGTGTGTGCCCAAGATCCCGAGAGGAAAATAGAGGAGAAGGGATTGCGGCGTGACCATCCCCCATGGAGGGGTGATTCTCACTTTGTGTCTCTATGTCTCTGTCTGTCTGGTGAGTGCACACGCCCTATAGCGAAAACCTCTCTCTCAAAAAAAAAAAAAAAACACATCAAAAATATGTTATAACTTTCCCATCGACCTATTAAAACCTGTGGAGAAAGAAAACATAAGACAGGACCAGCAACTGGTGAAATGGCTGTGTCGCTGGAGTCCCATGTAGTCGCCTGCGGTTCGAGTCCTGGACCTGGTGGCTTAAACTCATGCTGGGTGTGTGCTTGCATGCCCAAGATCCCGAGAGGAAAATAGAGGAGAAGGGATTGCAGTGTGGCTATTTCCCCTGGGGGGTGAATTCTCGTTTTCTGTCTCTCTGTCTGTCTCTGTCTTTCTGGCAAGTGTACACGCCCTATAACAAAAATCTTTCCCCCCCCCAAAAATATATATATATTTAAGATGAAATGACAAAATAACAGAATAGAGTGCCAAAGACAATTTTAGGGAATTTTAAAAATTGAAGGGAAGAAAATGCAAGAGATTCCGATAAAAGTCACTATGAATGAATAGCAGAGAGTGTCAGAAAGAGGGCTCTGGGAGAGAGGCATCAAGGAAGCCGAGAGACAGTGCACTTGAGAGCAGGCACGTCAACGGTAATGACTAGTGGATTTAAGCAACAATAATAAGGTAAAGAATTCAGAGCTTAAATAAAAGGAAAAATAAAATCAATTTTTTAAAGATTTTAGCAGTAAGGGTAAAGATAGATTATTGGTT